ACAGTGAGAACCTGGTAAAGAAAATAGCGAAGAAGGTTACCAAGAAAGCCGCGAAGAAAAAGACTGTAAAAAAATAAGTATGGCAAAGACAACAGGGGTGACAATTACTCATCCTGACAAAATATATTGGCCGGATGAGGGATTTACAAAGGGAGACCTTATCAATTATTATGAAAAAATCGCTCCCTATATCCTTCCCTATTTGAAAAACCGGCCGCTTTCGTTACGACGTAATCCAAATGGTATTAAAGATGCCGGTTTTTACCACAAAGATGCGGGTGATATCGCACCTGCCTGGATAAAAAAGGCAGACATAGAAGCGGAGTCAACAGGCAAAATGGTTCACTATCTTGTTTGCAATGATGTAAAAAGTCTCTTATTCATCGCCAATCTCGGGTGTATTGAAATGAATCCGTGGAATTCTGCAACCACCCGCCTCGATCGCCCGGATTATTTGGTGCTTGATATTGACCCGTCGGATAACAATACATTTGAGCAGGTAATTGAGGTGGCGCGGGTGATCAAAGAAACGCTTGACAGGTGTGATATAGAAGGATTCCCAAAAACATCAGGTGCGAGTGGTATGCATGTATATATTCCCTGCGGACACCGGTACGAATATGGTTTGGTGAGGGATTTTGCAAAGATGCTGGCAACAATAATCCAACAACAGATACCGGCTTTTACCACGCTTGAAAGATCATTGTCCAAAAGGAAGAAAAATCAAATCTATATCGATTACCTCCAAAATAGCCGGGGACAAACACTCGCCTCCGCCTACAGTGCAAGGCCAAAACCGGGCGCTACAGTATCGGCACCATTGGAATGGAAGGAAGTAAAGCGCGGACTCCACCCATCCAGATTTACCATTAAGAATATGTGGAAACGGGCAGAAAAAAAGGGTGACCTGTTTCAAGGCGTGCTGGCAAAAGGCTTTAATATGAAAACGGCGATCAGCAAGCTCGAAAAGTTATGAGCTGTTTCTTGCAGTTCCTTTCCGGTAACGGCCCATCAACTCTCCTACCGCTATAACGTGTCCTTCCATGCTTTCCAGCAATGCCTGTTTGTTCTCACCTGCGCTTACACTAAGCTCAGTGTCCAACGCATAAATTCGGAAATAGTATCGGTGGGTACCAGAAGGTGGGCAGGGTCCACCGTAACCAGTTTTACCGAAATCATTTATCCCACTAATTCCTTCATTTGACTTTTCAGCTATTACTTCGGTAACCGGCATGTTCCAGGCAATCCAATGGGTAAATACACCGTGGGGAGCATCAGGATCTTCCATGATGATCGCCAGGGTTTTAGTTTCTTCCGGTACATCCCCGATCTCAAGCGCTGGGCTGATGTTTTCTCCTTCGCAGGTATATTTTAATGGTATATGTCCGTTGTTATTAAATGCGGCACTTTGAACCATTAATTTTCTTGTCGTTGTTATCATGTAGTTATTTTCAAAAATAGAAGTTCACATTGCATGCCAAAGTGAAAAACTACAAATGTGAACTGCATGGCAATTTCGACCCGTGATGTCTGATTACCGACGTTAGACAGGAGGCGCAAAAAGCAAAGGAAGCAGGAGAGTGCCAAGGGAAACCTGCTTGTCTATAAACAGGCACGGTTTTTTTAGCATTTAATCAAAACATTCTTATGCAAACAAAATACACAGGTGCAACCAACAATCGACCAGATGGCGACCGGGTGCTAGATGCCCCATTTGTATTCTCGGATTTGGAAAAATTTGAACACCAGTTGAAAAAGGAAGATGCATGGAAGAAAAACGATCGGAATAGTATTACGGTGTATAAAACGGAAGGAATGGCCATGGTACTTACCTGCCTGCATAAGCACGCGGAAATCAGGGATAATGTAGTAGATGGTCTCTTAACTATACAGGTACTCGACGGAGCGATTGAACTGAGCTTGGAGACATACTCACAGGTTTTAAAAGAACAACAAGTGATGACGCTTCATTCTGGAATGTTACACACAATAGTGGCCAAGTCAGAATCGACGATACTATTGATTACAAATTCTTAATTTTTTCCTCTTGCCAGAAAAAACAGGTTGTTTTAAAAGCATTCAACGGTGAAAAGGGAAGGTTTTATACTTGACGACAAATATATAAAAGCCGGAAGGCGGTAAGCCGGAAAGTATTTGTTCAATGATTACAATAGCATCTTAAACACTTCCCGGCTTACCGCCTCCCCGGCAACTCCATTTAGACAGCGTCTCTTTCTTTAATTAGCTTGAGGATCTTTGACCTGCCCATTTTCATGCTTTTTGCTTAGCCATGAAAATACTTTTCGCAAAAGGCCATCTTTTTTATCAGCGATCACGTGCGAAGAGTAATTCTTCAAGAGAAACGGAACAATCGTCTTCATAAACCACCCCGTGCGTGCCAGCAAGACATTTTTTACTAATAAATTAATTAAACCGTTAGCGCTTGCATTTACCAGGAGGTTGCTGTTATCACGTGTAAACAGTTTCCCTGCTACTGAAATAGCTGATCTTACGGGTTTCAGACTTTCCTTGATTTCTGTAACGTCGTCACGAAGTACCTGCCGTTGAACTTTTAATTTCAACTGCAAGCGTTCTTTTTCATCAAGAAGATCCTGGTAAGTTTGAATGTTTGCGGTCATGCGCGGGTAGATTGAAATAAAATGTGATCCTTCAATTTGAATTAAACATTAGAATTTTGCATAGATGAGCGTGCCTGGCCTACTTTGTCTTTTGCTTGTTGTGCTACGTCCCCGGCCATATCTTTTCCTTTAGTCCATAATTGTCCGAGTGAATCTACCCATCCGCCGGCTGTCTTTACAATTTTCTTACGGGTTTCAGTACCTTTTTCCGGAGCAATCAATAATCCTATCACCACTCCTGCCGCTGCGGCACCCACGATACCGAGCAGTACTTTAGTTTTCGTGTCCATAGTATTTTTTTAAAGTGAATAAATGATTTCTCCCATTAC